ATGGGATTACATACATAATTTTTTCCCCTGCTATTTATTATTTAGAGGAGGAGATGTCAGGATAGAGTTAGATCTGGGCACATATTTTAGGTTTTTGTTAAAATACCACTCTACTTTAAGGACCAATTTCCATAGCTTAGCTATTGCTGTGTAACAAACTACCTGGAAATTTAATGGTTTAAAACAATAACCATTTTGTTCCTCAGAGCTCTTCTGTTCCCCCAGCATCAGCTGGGATCATTCACTAGGCTGCAAACGGTAAGTGACTGGACTAGGTTAGGAGGTCCAGAAAGGCTTCACTCACACATCTCATACCTCAGTCCTTTTCTGTATCACTTCTCAGTAACACACGGGCTAGCTTGGGCTTCCTCACAGCATGGTCGTCTCAAGGGAATTGGACTTCCTGTCATGACTACTAGCATTTGGGAAGGAACATTCTAAGAAAAGCGAAAGCAGATGCTGCAAGGACATTGGTTTGGAAGTTGCACGACATCATCAAAAGAGCATTGTATTGGTCAAAGCCAGTCACAAGGCCAGTCCAGATTCAAGGGTTGGAAGAAATGTACCTCATCTTTCAATGGGAGGAGTGGCAGAGAATGTGAGTCTACTTTTGATCCACCACAGGCTTCTTTGGCATATCATTGTTTCTGAGTTTTATCCATGTTGTTATTGTATATAACAGTTATTCATTCATTATTGTATTCCATTGTATGACTATACAATGTTTTATCCACTCTCCTGTTGATGTGGACATTTGGTTGCTTGTAATTTTTTTTGCTATTATAAAGATGGTTTTATGCAAATAATTGTACATGTTTATTGGTGAACATACATACTCTTTTTCTCTTGGGAATAGATATAGGAGTGGAATTGCTGGGTCATAATTAGCATATATTTGGCTCTCCTTCCAAATAATTTTCCAAAATTCTTCTTCCAATTTACACCCCCATCAACAATGTAGAAGAGAACAAATTTATTCATATTCTTGCCAAACCTTGGTATTTTTAGTCTTTTTAATTTTATCCATTCTGGTAGGTGTATAGTAGCATCTCATTGTGGGTTTAATTTGCATTTTTCTGATGAGTATTGACGTTGAGCATATTTTCATATATTTATTGATGATTTAGCTGCTATCTTTTATGAAATGCCTGCTCAAGTCTTTTGTCTATTTTTTTTTTTCCTGAGAAGGATTAGGATCCTGGATTTTGCCAATTTTTAATTGGATTGCTTATTACTATTTTTAATTAGTTTGTAGGAAATCTTTGTTATATAAATCTATTGAATATATGTATTGTGAATATTTTCTCAGTCTTTAGTTTGCTTTAACCATGTCTTTTGATGAACTGAAGTTCTTAATTAATTAATTAATTAATTTTGAGACAGAGTCTCACTCTGTTGCCCTGGGTAGAGTGCTGTGGCGTGCCAGCCTAGCCGTCACACAACCTCAGACTCCTGGCTCAAGCAATCCTCCTGCCTCAGACTTCCAAGTAGCTGGAACTACAGGCATTTGTCACTATACCCAGCTAATTTTACATATTTACATTTTTAGTTGTCCAGCTAATTTCTATTTTTGTTTTTTAGTAGAGATGGGGGGTCTCACTCTTGCTCAGGCCTGGTCTTCGAACTCCTGAAGCTGATCCTCCTGCCTCAGCCCTCCTTAGAGTGCTAGGATTGGGTTGTGAGCCACACACCCAGCTTAATTTAAAGAAGGTCTAATTAATGATCTTTTTCTTTATGGTAGTGATTTTTGTGCCCTATTCTGGAAGGTCTATTCTACCCCCAACTAATAAGAGAAATTTACCACTGAGGCGTTTTCTTTTCCTTAGAAGCCTTTTTATGGTTTCTTAACTATGACATGTAGTCTATGGATCATTTGCTTAATTTTTTGTGTGTGTGTGAAGGAGGGTTGATAATCTTAAATGGATGGTCCAATTTGATCCAGAACCATTCCATTGAAAACTACTCTTTCTCCTACTGTAATTTAGCAAGCCACCTTGCAAGTGTTATGCCTACCTCATAAGATTGTTGTAAATCAAGTATCTTATATGTATTTATAAGACAGTTTCTGACTTTCTATCATGTTTGTATTTTGATTTGTCACCTACGATCACAACTATCTAGATTTTTTTTTTTTTTTTTTTTTTTTGAGACAGAGTCTTGCTTGTGTCCAGGCGTAGAGGAGTGCCTGGCGTCCAGTCTAGCTCACAGCAGACTCAACATTCCTCGGGGCTCAAAGCGATCCCTACTGCCTCAGCCTCCCGAGGTAGCTGGACTACAGGCATGTGCCACCAGCCCGGCTAATTGTATATATATCAGTTGGCAATAATTTCTATTTAAGTTGAAGATGGGAGTCGTTGCTCTGCTCAGGGCTGATTTGACTCCTGACTGAGCCAATCGCCGCCTCGGCTCCCAGAGAGCTAGGATTACAGGTGAGCCACCGCGCCCGGCTATTAAGATTATTTGATTTCAGTTTCGTTTGTGTTAAACTAACCTTGGATTGTACATAAATCAAACTTGGTTGTGATTTTATTCCGTGATTTTTATGCCAAATACAATAAAGGATGTAAATTCAATTTGGTGATATTTTGTTTGGAACTTTTGCATCTATGTTTCTGAGATAGTGCTCTTTAATTTCGAGTTATCTTGAAATATCCTTGACAGGTTTGGGTGTCAAGGTTACGTGTGCCTCATAAGATGTGTTGGTAAGTGCTCTTTTTCCATTATCTGGAAAAATATTCTTTTCTATAAAAGTTGGTAGATTTACCAGCTAGTGCATTTGAATTGAGGGGTTTTTTTTGTGTGTGAGATATTTTACTTAATTATTTTACTTTACTTATGGAGTCAATTCTAAACAGATACAAGATGTTGGATTTTTTTTTTGTTGTTTTTCTTTTTTGAACAGATAGTCTGCTTGTTTGCCAGGATAGAGTGCTAGTGCCAGTAGGCATCAGCCAGCTCACAGCAACCCAACTCCTGGACTCAAGCATCCCTCCTGCCTCAGTTGCCTCCCCGAGTAGCTGGCACTACAGGCATGCGCACCATGCCCGGCTAATTCTTTTCTATATTATTATATTAGTTAGCCAATAAATTCTTTCTATTATATAGAGAGACGGGTCTCGCCTCTGCTTCAGGCTGGTTTCGAACTCCTACCTCCGAGCATCCGCCGCCTCGAGGCTCCCAATGGTGCTGGATTACGGCGTGAGCACACGCCGTGGCCTGGATTTTGCTTTTTTCTTGCATTATCTTTTGATAACTTGTATTTTTCTAGGAATTTCTCCTTTTCTTCTACATTTTCACATTTATTGGTCTAGAATTATTCATATCCCATTATGCTCTTTTTTAATGTCTATGGTATTTGTAGTGATGTCACTTTCATTGTCCTGATATTGGTTAATTTTGCTTTTCTTCTTTACTTTTCGATCAATCTTTCCAGGGTTTACTGAATTTATTAGTCTTTTCAAAGAGCTGATATTAGTTTGTGGAGCTTCCCTATTGAAGCCTGCTTTCTCTTTTATTAATTTCTCTAATCTTTTTCATTTCCTTCTTTCCATTATTTTTCAGTTTAACCTTCATTTTCCTGTCTTTTCTTTTTTCCCACATGAGACTGGTAATGTGCTCACATTGTAACAAGGTTTGAGGAAGGCTAGTCTTGCACATGAGTATGGAAACTCAAACATCACACTTATGAACTACAAAATAACCTTCTGTCTTCTTGAGATGTATGTATGACTATATCAAAGATCCTCTTGTCAATGAGATATTTCTTGACCAACCCACTTCAAACTGAAACCACCTTATTGTTCCCATTCTCCTTTCCTGTTTTATTTTTTTCCTTGGCATTCATCAACCATTTAACATACCATATAGCTTCCTTATTTATTTTTGTCTTTCTCCATCAAGATACAATCTCCATGAAGGCAGTTTGTTTACTTTCTTCACTGCTGAATCCCTAGGACCTAAGCCAGTTCCTGTTTAAGGAATAAAACAGGGAATGAATGTGTTCAGTGAAGAAAAAATAAAAGATAATTTGTCGAGCACTATTGAGACAGTATAGGGACAGGACTAGGGCCTCCCTTCTGATAACAAGAGCAGCATAACCTACGAGAAATGTTTTTCAGGGCTACTGGAGCAAGATATTGACAGACCATAAGGCACTTGGCTGCAAAAGAACCAGACCTATCCGGATCCAACCACCTCAAGCCAGAAAAGACCACCACACTGACCTTACCCTGACTTTTCCTTCATTATAACCTCATTTTAATGGTAAAAATCACAGAAGGGGGGGGGCTTTAACATGGTAATGAGATGCAAGCATGAAGAAGCTTGTAATAGAACGTCTGCTGCAAGAACATTTTCACCTCTACCTACATACTTACAGGTCACCCTTTTCCTGCCTAAGCCTCTTTAAATCTCTCCCAGAACTCCTGGGGAGCCAGACTGAGGACTTTTTCCTTTGTGTTGTCTCCAGTACATTCGAAAATGAGCTCCAATAAAACCTTGCCTGTGACTCCCTTTTGGCCTGTTAATTTTTATTACATACGGAGGCCAGTGGCCTGCGCCGGTAACACTACTCCCAGGTATAAGGGACTCACAGGTAACGGGTAATTCTTACAAGAGAGTAAACTGAGGCAAAAGCAAGCAGGATAGCCGTGATTAGAAATCTAGGTTTAACTCAACTACCTATGTTCTTTCCCCCAAACCCTAATGCCTCGCCTTTAAAAAGCCAGTGATGGGTGAAGAAACCAGAGGAGTGAGAGACCATGCCGGGGAACATGGCACGGGATTGCTCCCCTTGCAGCGGTAACGATCCACCTTCGGAACACAGCATGATTGAATAACTTGGCAGTAGGTGTTGCCCGACTGCTTATTGGCTGGTTTTAGTCACCAACACTAAGACAGGAAGACGACTTGGGAAGGGGAGGCAAGATTTGCAGAGCTTCGCCCCTGGAGCCCGCGGGGTTCTCCCTGCGACTGCAGCCCCCGGAACCCAAAGTCAGGGGCTCGGGATTCCGGCCCGAGGGCTTCTTCCGCCGCTCCCGGAAGTTGCGCTAGCTGCGTGGGTAACGGGTCCGGGCTGCGGCGGCTCCGGCGGCGCTGTGATGGACCTAGAGGAGGCGGTAAGGAGGCGGTGCGCCAGGCGGGTCCCAACTACCTGGGACAGAGGGCAGTGAACCTGAGGAGGAGCGGCGGAGGACGCCCACGAGCTGGGGACTGCCGCTCGCTAGAGGAGGGCGGGGCCGAGGGTGGCGGGGCTAGGGATGGGGCTGGCGGGCTGCGTGTGCGCGCGGTTTTGGGAAAGAGACTGGAGTTTCTGGCTCGGCGAGGTTGTGGGTGAAGGAGGGTGGAGTGTTTGTCCTTACGGGTGTGTTTAAGGAGGAGGTGAAGTTATGGGTTTTGTGGGGTGGCCACCCACATGGCTCATCCTTTCTCGACTGGACCACCCACAAGTTCCCTTTGATGTTGGGATGGGTGAAGGAGGGGCAAGGGTTGGAACCTGAATGCCCCCAGGTAATCTCTGTCGTTCTTTATGGGAATCCTAGCCACTGTCTCTTGCTGGGATTCCAAATTCAGGTTTGAGGACACCCCAAGGTGTCCTACTATCATAGTTTTAGTATGAGGTCATTGAAGACTTTACCAAGTTGTCAAAATAACTTTGGCATGCATTTTTGACATACTACATTAAATGCCACAATCTTTGATGGTATTAGATGGTATTCGGTAATTATATCAAGGATGATGAATCAAACACCAAAGAGTTGTGAATCAGAGAATTAGGTCTGTGTATGGGCAGAAGAGGTATGGTGATAGGAGATCTTATAGTAGATGCTCAGAAATGTTTATTGAATGATGGAAAGTTAACTTCCATAAATGCTAGGTTGATGAAATTAATAATTATAACTCAACTATTAGCCTGTATCTGTCTTGTCTGTTTTGCTCTCCATTGCATCCCCAGACCTGGTAAAATGCCTAGTACACGCATAGTTGATACTCATTACATTGCAGAATGAATAAATTGAAACTTGAAACAAACCTGGTTAAAAAAAAAATCTGGTTCCTTTGTGGCAAGTATGTGCTAGTGTTCTGGAGGAGTTCCAAGTGACATTTCTTTCTTTCTTCTTCTTTTTTCTTTTTTCGGTCTTCTCTATACTTAAATTTTACCTTTTTTTTCTCACAGCTATTTTCAAGGGTCTTTACTCATCTGTTTCCACGTTACCCCTACTACCTTTTTTCCTTTTTTTCCCCCCTCACACACTGTATTTTAGTAAATTTTCTCTAATAGCTTAATTTAGTTTCATACTGTTCACGAGACTGAACTGCTCTTCTACTTGTTTACAGATAATCTCTCCGATACATTTTCTGTTGTCTGATTTTTTTATTTATAAGGTAAAATTGCCAGGAACTCTCTTGGGAGAACTAAGTAGAGCTGCAGGGTGTAGGTACAATGTATTGAATGTGGTTTGATGGTAACACCTTTTCTATCCTCTTCTGCTATAGAAAGAGTTTAAGGAGCGCTGTACTCAGTGTGCTGCTGTCTCTTGGGGTATTACTGATGAAGGCAAATATTATTGCACTTCTTGCCATAATGTTACAGAGGTAAGCAACACATTTATGAATTTGCTTATGTGTTAGAAACTGCAGTTTCAGCCTGATATGTAGCCTAATTACCAAAGAATCTTTATATTTTTATCACCCATGCAGTGCCCAAATTCTAAGAATGTAAGTAGTCTTCAAGTGCTTACACATGGGTTAAGCAATTTGTAAATTAGATTGAGGATTAGTTTTTGAAATTATGTTGAGCCACATGTATAAATGATTTCCTGATTCAGACTGTATGGTTTAAGGGGAAATAATTAAAATTATACTTAGAAGGTGATACATTTCTTTTTATTATTTAATACTTATTTAAGAGTTGTTAATATGTTGTAGTAGCTTAGCGCTTTGAAAGATGGAATGTTAGAAGGCTTGAGGACTATTGGGAATATTGGAAATATGCTTTATTATTTTATCTTTGTATAATATCTTACAGAGTACAAAGTATTTTCTTATCCATGATTTCATTTCCTTCTCATCACTACCTTTGAGATTATACTATTATGCCTATTTATAGACAGGGCAAGTAGGGTTCATGAGTTTGCCAAAGTCACACAAGTATAAAGTGTTGAGCCAGGACTTGAACCTGAGTCTTCTGACTCCAGTGTTCATTTTACCTATCACGCTTCCCTCTTAAAAGTGGACAGGCTAAACGTGCCAGGAATCTTCTCTACAGAAAGGATATGCTCAAAGTTTACAGAGCCAGGAAGGAACAAATATTACCTTTACCATATAGGCTTAAGAAAGGCAAATTTGAGACAGGTGAAAGTAACTGTGTAGACTTCTGCTACTGGCCAAGATGGTGTAACGGGGACCAAATTTACCTTCCCTCCTGAAACAACTGAAAAAGAACCTGGACAAAATATATTAAACAAGTTAAAAAAAATTTCCCCTTGAGAATACTGGTAAATTTATCCTGCAAGTCAGTTACAAAAGCGCTTTCCCTTGAGACAGTCAATGTTCTTTAGCCTCCAGCTGAAATGCTTGTATCTACTTCCCATTTAGTCACACGGAATATTAAAAAGATATGTACTTGATGAAATTTTGGGGGTGATAGAGATGTTCTTCATCTTGATTATGGCAATGGTTTCTTGGAGAGATATATATGTCACATTGTACACTTGACATACATGCAGTTTGGTCCCTGCCTTGATATGTGTTAAGGAACTAGTGAATTTACTCACCATTGCTTTTGCACCACAGTGCAGATGTAAACACAGTGAAGAAAAATTGTGTCTCATGCACTAGTAGATGAAGTCAGCATACTACTTTTGTAGGAATTGAACTACATTTAACTAATGGCTCGTTTGACTTCTGTTTTTGATAATATTTCTATTTGATTCTGTTTGATTAAGTCAGCTGCCATCATTTTTAAGCTTGAAAGATTCAAATACCACTGCCTAGCTTCTCATTTGAAAGACTGTCAATTGCATGGAATATTATAACTTGTCAAGAACGTAGAGTTCTTGAAAGTGGGCAACGTCTTTATAAAGGCCAAGTACCTAGCTCAGTGCCTTCTTTCCATACTATATGCAAAGTTGTGTGTTGTATGACTTCAATGGCAACTCTTGGCTTTGTGGTGATCCAGACATGTTCTTCACATAAAATGTGATGTGGTTGGTGTTCCCTGGTTATGTTTAGTGTGGTGGTGTGATATCCACTGGGTAGGGAATGGCCAGTGAGACAGTAGTTACACCTATGAAGAATGGAAGTCATGGTACAATTTGACCTATTTTTATGCCCCTATTATTGATCTCGAGCTTCCTTTGTATATAATTTTTCAAGCTCTAGATACTCTGCAATCTGGAGAAAGACCTTCTGAATTGGGAAAGGAACCAGAGTGTTATCCTGGTATATTTTATCCAGAAAAAAAATTTAAGGCCTTAAATCTATCCAATTTAGACAATAGATATTTTTGCAAGTATTTCATGGACATTTATAATACAAAGGTGTAGATTTTTGTTAGAGTGGAAAGTCTAGTAGGTGCTCATGGCACGAGTGGAGAAAGATTTCTTACACAGAAATTAAGATAGAAAAGTTTAAAAGTTTATTTCATTAATTAGAAGGACAGAGAAAAAGAGAGAGAGAGGAGAGAGAGAGAGAGAGAGAGAGAAAGAGAAAAGAGAGCAGGGAGCCAGCATGGCATCCCAGAGAAAGAGAAGGGGGATGTCAGCAACAAGGCCAAGTGGCTTGCTGCTTTTATGGGGATGAAGAAAAAAAATAGTGACGGTTGTCAGTTGCTAACAAAAGTGGCAGCAGGTAGATAACAAAAACTGCAAGGATGTCAAAGTCTAAGACTTGGTTTCCTGCCTTCCTTGGAGAAAGGATTATCACAGGACTTGTGACTATCCTTGAGATATGGTTGAGGCTCATTTTTCTGCTGTTTACTCAGGAACTCTGTAAAAGCAGATTCTCAAAAAACAATTTTGAAAGAGAGAGATTTGCATGTCTTTTCGGTCCATTCAGCTTTCTTTACAAAACAGAACTCCTACAGGGCTCCTATTAGTGAGAGAGCTCATAGAATTGATCTTTAACCATTACTGAGGAAGTTGTGGCATTAGGTATTTTCCTGTTATTTTTGCAAGGCTGCCCCTTTCAGTTTTTATGATTATAAGAGCAATCCTGTTTACTGTAGAAAATTTGGAAACTGTGAAGATGAAAGCTAAAATAACGAATAATCTCAACACACATTTCAGTCTCTTTTGTCCTGTGTATGAGAGGGAAAAAGGAATGTGTGTGAGTACTATTGAATCTTCTGTCTTAACAATGTGGAAAATACTTTTTCTAAACATTTGCAGAATTTTTATTGACTGTATAAATATTCCATAATGTAACCACTCAGTAATTTAATTAATTATATATAGCTTTAGTTTTGGATGTTTAGCCTTTTCATGTTTTTTGCTGTTTCACGTTTTATCTAGTTCAGATTTTACGTCTTTTTTTCTTGGCTACTCTTTATAAGCTTTACTTGTCTTTGCCAGATAACTGGGTGTTTTCTGTTTTTTTTTACAGCTCCCCTTCAAAAATGGGTAACTGTTTTGGTATTTATTCTGACATATCTTATATTCTCTGTGTGGCCAACCCAATATACCAGAATTGCTTTGAATATGGTTTCTATGACTAGAGAGTCTACATTCCTATTGTTAGGAATCCTATTGTTAGAGACATGTCTTTTTTATTCTTATTGAGAGTTAAAGGTAAACTTCATTCCAAATTTCTAAATTTAGAAAAATATGTTAATGTCCTCTGCTGTTTAAAAGATCTTTTACCTTTCTTCTGGCAATAAGACTCAATACTTTTCTTTTTGGTTATGAGAGAGCCAGGATCTTAGGTACCTGCCCTTGAGAACAATTGGGATTGAAGACTTTGTTATGAATTGTACTAGCCATTTATTTAGTCCTTCTAAATTCTGTAGTTTGATCGAAAATAAAAAGTAGTACTTTTATAATTTCAGAAATGGAAGCAGTTTTAGAGTGTTATAAAGTACATGAAGAAATAGGATGAAACTTATCTGTATGTAGGTTAGATATTGCCAGTTATGATAAATACATAAATTGTATTAATACCAAGATATAAAAGTTTATTCATTTAACAGATGGTGGTTACTGTGTTCCAGACACTGTTTTAAGTACTGAGAAATTTTGAATGAAAAAACCATAAAGATTAATCAGAATGTTACAATTTTTATAATTTCCCAACATGTTACCATCACTGGCCCTGGCACTCACAGTTTGGTTCATTATATTTCCCAGAGCATACTTGGAAATATGCTTAGGGGGATGTAATACTATTTTTTTAATGGATTGTTTTTTGTTTCTTGCAGAGATCTAAGGAAGTTATAAACACTGAAGATATTCCTAATAGCAAGATAAAAGCCATCAACCGGGGTCTTAAAAGAAAAAAAAAGCTTGGTAAGCTCTTTCTTCATATGTGCTTAATGTTCTTTATTCACATCTTTCACCTTCATGATGTGGGGACATGGAATGGAATTTTAAATAGATTCTAGAGAAAATTTCAGATTTTAAAGCAGATAATCCAAAATGAAATTAAAATGGGAAACTATTGATGGTAAAATGGGAAGCAAATGTCTTGAAGCATATTCTTTTATTATCCTGCTTATTGTCAATGAGTTGCTTTTCCAGTGGAGCAACTATTGTGCAAAAAATAATATTAATAGCAAAGGGAGCGTATGTGCTTTTCTATATTATCCATTATGAATATGATTTTTTGTGCTTTTGAAGAAAAATGCTTATTTTATGAAATAATTCAGCTGAGGGATCTTCTGGTAGGGTGACTTAAACAGGAGATTCAACTTTCAGAAAACCATTTCTCACACTGAATTTTCAATATACACTTTAAAATAGGGAAAATTATTTTCTCTTAAAATAGCTTCAGCATGGATATGCTTTGAAAGGTAATATATTTCATTAATCCAATGAATACATATAATTAACCATTATTGAGAAGAATCTGAGGTAAAGTCTAACTGATGCTTTTTATTTTTATGACTAACTACCTAGGATCAGATTCTCAAATTTGAAACCAGGCTAATGATAATAGTAGACTCTTCTACATGAGGTAGCTTTGAGGACACACACACGCACTAAATATATGTATATTAATGGAATATTTATATGAAATACATTGATGTTCTTAGATGAATAACAGAGAGAATCCCTAAATGCTAACTCACATTCATATTTAACCTTTAATAGTAACTATTTTTATTGGGCTAAGACCTGATTAATTTTCACTAAATTTTATCAGAGTTAACCCCAATTAATTCTGACTTAACCTATTTAAATAGTTAAAATGTGTAGTTTAAACCTAAATTGCTTAAGGAACTTCAGGTGCTTTATATTAGGGGTTAAGTGTCTTATAGTCATCCTTTTTCATCTGTAAAATGAGAATGGTAATACCATCTGTTATGTAAAATAGGAACACAGACTCATAAAATACAACTTTATCAGTTTCTAAGAATAGTGTGCATGAAGAAGAGAGCATATGTATATAGCTTAAAGAGTTTAAACTTCCTCAACTTCTAGATACATCAGAATTACAGGCCCTTCCAAGCAGGAAGTATTTGAGAAAAAAAAAAAAAAGAAGAATTACAGGCCTTTCCATTTCACTCATACAACCTGAAACCCTTCCTGGGAGGAAATTGGGTTGGTGAGCGGGGGTGGGGAGTCTTTGTGACATTCAGGAAAGCAGAAGAGTTGGAATCCCCTGACATTCTGCAGGGGAGAAGAGATCTTGGACTCAGTACCAGACTTCAGAAGCTATGTATAAAAAGTGCTGATAACATGCTTTTCAAAGAGTTAGAGTGTTTGTCCAGCAGTGAGAGGTAAAACATAAGGGTCCTGATGGACTTTACCTCTCCTTCAGCTAGTGATTATAGTAGCTCTATTATGGTGGCAGATTTCTTCACACTCTCTCTAGGGTAGTTTTGAGAATTCACTAAAATAACCTATTTAAAATACCTAGCACTTAGAGGTGGAGTGAAAAAAAAACAGAGGATATAAAAACAAATAAAATAGAAAATAAGAATAAAAACAAGGTAAAAAAATAAAAGGAAAAAAAATACCTAGCACATACCTGGTACCTAGGCTGAGATCAGTGTTAGTTTTCTTGCTTTCAGTTTCTCCCATTCTAGAACAATTTCTAGAAAAGTAGAATGCCATTGAACAGTTTATTTTCTTCAAATAATGTTCTTTCCTGCACTTCTGGACCATCAGATCTTGACATTGGTTCTTTGGTTCACCAGATATTCATCCTTACCTTATAAATTGGAACAGAAAAATGGAAGCAGCGACCGAGTACTTTCACTTAGGATTCTGCTGGTCATTGTTCAGTAAAATACACATTTTTAAAACTTACTTCACTTTCTTAAATATGTTGGCTATTCATTTTTCTCCCTTTTAGGTTACTATTTCAGAACATTTGAAATCCAATAAATTATATAAAATGTTTAGTTTTAGCATTTGTATAAAAATTTGCCAGATAGGAAATAAGAGAATGTAAGAATGGAAACTCTATTCAGGGATACCAAAAATTCAAGTTGTAATGTGTAAAACACAAACTGTAACTGTGTAGCGGAATTGCAGTAAATTAGGAATGCAGATGTCTAAAATGTGTTATTTGTCATTTAGAAAAAGGCTGGGATTGGTATGTGTGTGAAGGTTTTCAGTACATACTTTATCAACAAGCAGAAGCCTTAAAGAGCCTTGGAGTAGGCCCAGAGTTAAAGGTAAGACCATTTGGGACTAGATGTTAGCTTTACATTTTGTTTTTTGAAGAAAAGTAAGATGTAGAGTGGAACTAGGGAGAAATCAGTAATAACACTAGGGCTACTGGAAGAATTATTTTTCTGATAGTTTTGCTTTAATTCTTTTACTAGACCAGCAGTTCCTAAAGTGTGTTTTACAGTATGTAAATAAGCAATACATGCAAAAGAAAATTGAAAAGATTTTAGTCTTCAGATATTAGGAAACACCAGGTTAAACAAAGTAAAACAAATAACTTTCTGGGCTTATTTGTTTCTCTATGTTAATGTGCTTGTTTAATTTCCAAGAGATGTCCTTTGTGGTATTCACAGTTTAAGAACAAATTCCTTTGGTGTGTATATGTAGTGTCTGTCAGGACTTGAGTTCTACTGAATGCAATTTGGGCAGTCATGGTAAACCAGTGGTTCACTGGAGTATTCATCACAGTCACCTGGAGGTATTGTTGAAATACCAATTGCTGGACCCTCTTCCCAGAGCTTCTGAGTCAGTAGGTCTGGATCAGGGCCCAAGAATTTGGATTTCTAACAAATTCCCATGAGACACTGATGCTTCTAGTCCAGGGATCACACTTTGACTTTGCTGCCTTCCTGGAGTAGCATAGTATTCCTGCAATTTTTTGAATTTCATATTCCCTCATCTAGTAAGAGCCATTTTCAGGAATTCTTTTAACAGCTAGTTATTTACCAACAAGTTGTTTATTGTATTCTTGCTTCGTGCTCTTCATTGGAAACCAAGTTCTGAGAGATCCAGCCTAGTTGGGGAGGGGGATTTATGTATATGTGAAATTAGTAGACATGAAATTTCTTTAACAGTATATACTCATAAGTGTTATTAAAGGCAGAAAGAGAAGGGAAAAAGATCAATGAGGGCTGAAGTCACCAAGGAAAGATTTGTAGAGGAGCATCTGCTGTTCAAACCAGTATATGGAGGCCGGGCTTGGTGGCTCACGCCTGTAATCCTATCACTCTGGGAGGCCGAAGTGGGCGGATCACTCAAGGTCAGGAGTTCAAAACCAGCCTGAGCAAGTGCGAGACCCCATCTCTACTATAAATAGAAAGAAATTAATTGGCCAACTAATATATATAGAAAAAATTAGCTGGGCATGGTGGTGCATGCCTGTAGTCCCAGCTACTCGGGAGGCTGAGGCAGGAGGATCGCTTGAGCCCAGGAGTTTGAGGTTGCTGTGAGCTAGGCTGATGCCACGGCACTCACTCTAGCCTGGGCAACAAAGCGAGACTCTGTCTCAAAAGAAAAAAAACAAAAAACCAGTATATGGGGCAAGCCAAAAGAGAATGACCTCTGGAGCAGTGCATGGTCTAAAATGGACTCTGGCCGTGCCTTTAAAAGCGTTATAGGAATTAAAAATTCAGAGCCAGGAGCAGTAGCTCATGCTTCTAGCCCCACCTGCACTAGGAGGCTGAGGCAGGAGGATTAATTAAGGCTAGGAGTTTGAGACCAGCCTGGACAATATAGCAAGACCCCATCTCTTAAAAGACAAAGGAACTAAACATTCAAAAACATGAAACACCACAGACTTAACCTGTTACAGTCACTGCATTAGGTAAGATAGTGGGGGTTTATGATCTAGTCTATCACTGCCTAGTCATCCTATGTATAAATGTTTATAAATAGTTTTATATAATTACATTGAATAGCTATAGTAGGGTTTATTTCTACATAGCTGACTATCCATTTCATTAGGGATTAATTCTGAAAACAGTTTTTCTGAAACTGACTGATGAAAATAAGAACACAGGCTCAGGAGTCAGAACTGACTCCAAATTCTATTCATGGCTTTTCTGTTTATTGGCTGGGTAATCTTGGCCAAGCTAACTCAGTTTCTTCAGTGGTAAAATAGAAGTAATAGCTATCTTACTGTATTGTGTTAGAGGCGACAGATATCTGGTACCTAGTAGGTGATGAATAAATGGAAAAGTTTTTTTGTTTAGTTTTACTTACAGTCAGGGCAGGTCGATAGACCTGGTGGCAGCTTTGCCGCTAACTAGAAATGTAGTCATGTATAAGTTGATTTCTTTCTCTGATCCTTAATTTGTTTAATATACAAAAGGTAAGAATTCAACTAGGTGATCTTTAATGTCCTTTCCTTCTCTAAGATTAAGAAGGATTTTTTTCAGTGTTTCCCACATATATGATATTGTGATAATTCTTTTTAAAGAAAAGCAGATAAGAATACATTTAGATGGAAAACTTGTTTTAACAAGCCCTCCATGTGATTCTGATGCACACTCAAGTTTGAGAAACACTGGTTTAACTTATCACTCCCCAAAGTGCATTTTGTGGAACTCACATCCTTATAGATGCTACAGAAACACACCAAAGGATTTTGTTCTCTAATTGTGAAAACTGCATAAGACATCCTTTGGAAATTAATATATAGAGTACAAAGTCTGCAGTATGGATGTGCCCATATGTTTGTCATCATAACCTGAATCACCACCCATTCTCATTTCCCTTCCACATTAGAATGAAGTTTTACATAATTTTTGGAAGCGCTACCTTCAGAAGAGCAAACAGGCATATTGTGAGAAACCAATTTATACCACTAGAAAGAAAGCTATGGTGAGTCACGAGTCTGAAAAGTGGGACTAAAAGACATGTCTGGTGAGATGTAGAGATGGAGATGGGATCATGACCAGTTTGAGTATCTGGGAGTATGATGCTTGTCAGAGGATTTTCAGTGAAGAGTCTTCTTTTATAGTCCAGAAGAAAAGGGTCATTGATCTAGACATTGGAATTAATTTTGACTTCTTATTAGACTACTTGAAATATAAAGGAATTTGTGGTGGGTTTTCTAGATAAAAGCTTAAGGAATTTCTATTACTGTACTATTAAAAGAATTTGTTTGTGTATGTAAGTCCTTTTGTTTGGAATACCTACTTTACCTGGCATTTCAAAATTCAGCTCAGTTATCATCTCTTCTCAGAAGCCTTTATGTGAAGAAAAAGAAATCTAGGTACCCCAGCCCCCCACATCCACCATCTATATTTGTAGCAGTTTGTTTTTAACTACTCTATAAATGTGCCCTGTAAAATTTTATTTGGATAGGGGATGGGTTCACTGCTGAGAAAGGTGAGTGTGCTAATCAATGATGTGTTGGATGTGTGATACAGATGCTTGCTGACTTATAATGGGGTTACATCCTGATTAACCCACTGTAAGTTGAAAATATTGTAAGAAAATGCATTTAATACCCCTAACCAACGCCCTTTCTTAACCTAGCCTACTTTAAACATGCTCAGAACACTCACATTAGCCTAAAGTTGGGCAAAAATCATCAAACTTAAAGTGTATTTTATAATACTGGATTGAATATTATCTCATGTAATTTTTTTCTACCTGAGATGGAAATGATGACCCTCATGTAATTTATTGAATACTGTACTGAAAATGGAAAACAATGATTATATGGGTACTTGAAGTACAGTTTCTACTGAATGCATATTGCTTTTGTAACATTGTAAAGTTAAAAATCTTAAGTCAGGGACCACCTGTATTTAGAGAAGAGCAAAGAAGCGTTTCTGAATCTATCTAATACACACTTGTTTAAGAGCTTGGGAACTTGGCGCTGTGTTCCCTTGTTTGGTTGGGTTCTCACAGGTTCCACATGCAGTGTAAAGACTTGGGCCTGGATAAATGGTGTAGGTGACAGACATGAGTGAAGGAGATAAACCTCTGAGCTACTCAAGTATCCTCACGTGATACTGGTCCTAAGAATGAGAAATTTAGAATAGTCAAATAATGCAAGAAACAATGGTTAAAGGGGTATAACCTAAGGAATTAGTTTAGAAAATATTTTTAAATATGATACTATTTAAACTCAAGAGAAATAACTTGAATTTACTGGAAAGACATTTTATAATCATAGAGTTATGAAACATTATCCTATCTTGATATAAGAGACAGGTACCTCTTAAGAAAAGCAAAAAGTGCTATATTTCCAAGGTGATAGTTGGAAAAAGAAAAGAAAGAATTATTCAAACTGCTAAGAACTTGATTTTTAAAATTTCATAGCTAAGGTATTTGTTGCTTGTATTTAAGTACAGGGACTTTGCCTAGCACATAGAAAATATGAATTAGAACCTAGGATTCTCTCTGACATTTTAATATTTTTAGGTTAATTTAAGATTAAGATAGGACCAGGTGTGGTGGCTCACACCTGTGATCCCAGCATTTTGTGAGGCTGAGGTGGGATAATCACTTGAGGCCAGGAGTTTGAGACCAGCCTGGGCAACATAGCATGACCCTGTCTTGAAAAAAAAAATTAGCCAGGCATGGTAGTGTGCTCCTATAGTCCTAGTTACTTGGGAGATTGAGGTTGGAGGATCGTTTGAGCCCAGGAGTTCGAGGTTACAATGAGCTATGATTTGTGTCACTGTACTCCAGCCTAGGTGACAGAGTGAGAGCTTTGTCACCCTGTCTCTGAAATGAATGAATGAATGAATGAATGAATGAATGAATGAATGAATGAATAAAAGGTTTGAGTAAGCACCTGTGTAAAGCAGTATTAGCAGCATACCCCAAAATCTTGGTGAATAAATAAGCAATAGGTAAAATTGTAAGCTGATATATAAGTTGGTAATGTAATTTCTACCACAAGAATACAACTGTACTATATTATGAAAGGAAAAAGAAATAATTACTTTTAAATTAGAAGCTTAGTCCTCTCATACATAGCCAGTAAATATTTTCTTAGTGTTTTGATGGATATTAACTGTTCCAAGACCAGTAAGAGGCTTGCACCTGAATCCTGGACCCTACTTTTGAGTTATGTGATCTTGGGTGAGATAAATTACTGAAAAATCCCAGAAAAGGCAAAAACAAGCAAATATACAAAGTGTGGCAGTGGGGGAAGGGTGCTATTTAACAGAGAGTGGTCAGGGAAGGCCTTCCTGATGAGGGATCTTAAGGATGTGAGAGAGTAAACCATGGGGATATCTATGGGAAGAAATGCAGAGGAATTCCAGGTCTCACCCAGACCAATTTAAATCCATATCTGCGTGTTTGAGAAGGACTGCTCTAGATGTGAAATGAGGGAGGCTGGGGCCAAGTGCTGGCACTGGAGGTGATAAGTGGCAAGATTCTAGATCAACTGAAGATAGAACCTACAGAATTTCCTGATGGATTGGATGTGGGGTGTGAGAGAAAGAGGAATAAAAGACAACTCTAAGGTTTTTGGCTGGAGCAGCTGGAAGGAAAAAGTTGCCATCAGCTAAAATGGCAGGTGGAACAGGAAGATCATGAGTTCTGTTTTAGACATGTTAAGTTTGAGACAGCTGTTAGACGTCCAAGAGGAAATGTCAAGTGTGCAGTTAGATATATCAGTCTGTAGTTCAGAAGAGAGGTCTGGGCTGGAAATTAATTTGGAAGCTGTCAGTTTATACTGTAATTATTGAATCTAAAATACCATTGTTTGTAAGATACACCATTATTTTAAGTATTACCAAGAAAGAAAAGAATGCAGCAAATTAAATTGAGACATGCCACTGATTGATTTGGATTTAAGGGATGTTAAAATATGAGGAGGGAGGAGGTATAGCTAATATTCGAAACCATAAGACCAGAATGATATCACCAAGGAATGAAGACAGTACCAAGAACTAAACTCTGGGCCACTGTTGGGTTAAGATGTTTGGGATAAAAAAGAAACTGGCAAAAAAGTTAGAGAAACACTTGGGAAGTAAGAGGACAGCCAAGAGAGTGAGAGCCATTCTGGAAACCAAGAAAACAAAGTGTTTCAAGAAGAGGGCAGTAATCAACTGTGATAAATGCTGCCACTAGGTCAAGAAGGAAGAGGGCTACAAACTGATCAATGGAATGGGACCAAAAGCTTGATTGGAATGGGGTGTAAGGTAGATTGAGAGCAGAGAAATTGGGGAAAACAAATCTGGACTATTCCAAGGCATTTTGCTGAAGTACAGAGAAATTGTGTGGTAGCTGGGGTCAAGGGAAAAGTTTTTTAAAATGGGATCGGCTGGGTATGGTGGCTCCTGTCTGTAATCCCAGCACTTAGGGAGGCCAAGGCGGGAGGATCACTTGAGGCCAGGAGTTCAAGACAAGCCTGGGCAATGTAGCATGACCCTGTCTCTACAAAAAATGCAAAAATTATTTGGGCATGGTGGCGGGTGCCTGTAGAGTCCTAGCTCTTTGGGAGACTGAGCAGGAGGATTGCTTGAGACCAGCAGTTTGAGGCTGCAGTGAGCTATGATCGCACCACTGCATTCCAACCTGGGTAACAGAGCAAGACCCTATCTCTTTAAAAAAAAAAAGTGAGATAAATGATAGCATATTTGTGTACTGATAAGAGTGGTTTAGGAGAGAAGAAAAATGCACAGTGGAGAGAAAGGAGAAGTGGGTCTTAAATAGATAGCGCTGAATGGATGAGAGGGATAGGATAGAGTGCACAAAGGAGAAGCTGGCTTTAGATGGGAACTTAGTCGAGAAGAATCAGGCAGAGGGCAGAGTATGGGTAGATTTGCTGGCAGTGGTCACCTGTGTGAACCTTTGGACGTTTTCTTCTGATTGCCTCAATTTTCTCAATGAGTCTGTGGTCATCAGCCAGCTTTATGGCATACCTTGCCTCTCATGTGGCTTGCCATTAGGGAAGCAATGTGCTTGACAGAGATTATGAGCATCTTATTTCATTCCCTAATTTTTTTCTTTTTTGCTTCATTCTCTTGTGAGCTTCTTTAACATGAGTATTATTGCCTTGCAATAAGATCAGGTTTCTTGGCCTTCGAGGCTGAGATCATGGCTTTCTGACTGATCAGTTCCCCAAGGTAATGTTAGCAAAGGAGATCTTCAGGTAGCCAGCCCGCTGACCTTTTTAGGGACACTCTGACCACCATTTCAATAGTACATGTGTGAACAATTAAACAATGGTGTGAGATAGTATATCCTTGTTGATTATGTCTTATAAACAGTATGTACTACAGGAGTTCAAAGAAATGAGAAATCACTGAAGAAGAGTGGGTTTTCAGTGTCATGATAGAGTAAGTAATAAGTTGAAGAGAGAGAAAGAGAAGGGACAGTTCAGGCAAGATAACCAGAATTAGCAAAGCTATAAAGCAAGAACTCCCCAGGTAGGTTTGGTAAAAAAGAGGCCAGCCAGTGTGCACGGAGTCATTATTGATGCTCAGTGTTTTGATTGGTAAAGATGTTAGTGCTGTAAGAGAGATGTTTGTGGAAGGAGGAGATCTGATGTATGTGCTGGCAGCCTGCTTCCTCCCTCACCTTTGTCTGTAGCCTTTCTCCCAGAAGCACTGCTGGGAGCTGTCAGGGAGCGTGTTTCAAAGTAAAGGTCTTTCAGGCTTAGGGTCTTGGCAGACAGTTGAAGTTCTCTAGAGTGGTTTCTTTTATGGTGTTTGTGATGGTTGGGAATTGTGTACATTCACAGACATTAACTATGTTTTAAATTCCTGTGTAATAATTTTGTTTATATTATTTTGCAAACAGGTAGTAGAAGATAATCTAAGTCATTTGGACTGTAGTAGTGAGCCTGAGCTGCTAAGTGATGTTAGCTATTCTTTTGTTGAAAGTGGAGCAGAGTCACAATCTGACATCTTCAGTCAAAAGTCTTTCCCCGTCAGCAGCAGAGCATCACAACCAGGTAAAAATGAGAACCAAACTGTTTAGAGTTTTAAAGTTACTACTATCTCTTACAAATAATTTAATCCAATCTCTTGATATTCCAAGGAAGGGGAATTTGGTCTAGCAAAGTCACATGACTTACTAAATCACATGGCTAAGAAAAAGGCAAATTAAATGAATTCTTAGTACAATTTTTTTTTTTTTTTTTGAGATGGAGTCTCACTCTGTCACCAGAACTAGAGTGCTGTGACATTAGCCTAGCTCACAGCAACTTCAAAGTCCTGGGCTCAAGCAATTCTCTTGCCTCAGCCTCATGAGTATCTGGGACTACAGACATACACCACCACATCTGGCTAATTTTTCTATTTTTAATAGAGACAGGGGTCTCGCTCTTGCTCATGCTAGTCTCAAACTCCTGACCTCAAGTGATCCTCCTGCCTTGGCCTCCCAGAGTGCTAGGATTACAGGCATGAGCCACTGCACCGGCCAGTGCAATTTTTTAAAAGGCACATTGTCTCCATATATTTTTGTGTGATTTTAAAAGGGACATAAAGAATAAGTGGATCCAGAAGGAGGCTCACTCAAAAAAGATCATATATGTGTGAGCTCAGAATTTTCAGAGAAAAGTTGCAGCAGAAAAAGTGATAACTTAACCAATATGGCCAAATAAGAGTCAAAGATTATACGCCCAATTTTTAAGCATGTTACGTGTGTATGTCTTACTTTCTGATTTAATTCCGTAACTAAAAATAGATGAGGAGTATATTTAAGGTTATAGACATAGACCTTCTCCCTAAAGCATTTATTCATTTTAGTTGTTCCTTTACTACATTTTTTTTTTTTAAATCATGGTGGAAAACAGATCTCAGAGAACAGGCCAGGCTTTTGTTATAGATTACATGAATCTTGATGTGTACTAATAGAGTTCTTTGGGAAATAGCTTCCAAATCACCTGGTGTTAGGAATTGTTTATTGAAATCTGGGTTAAGTGTAGTTATTTATACTTTAAGCCAAGTTTAAGGGGGGAAAAAGATACATAAAATTTTCAACAAAACTCTTCTTGAATGGGCTGTTTCTTTGCAAGCCTCTTGCCTTCCCAAGATTAAAAATTTCTTTTGTCAGCATACCAGCATTTCTTGCTGGACTGCACAGTGACACAGATATCAGATGAGTTACTTTTTGTGTCCAAAGAAGTAAAGTGTTAGAATTATAGAATAGTTGAACAGCAATAAATCTCTAGAGGTTTTTTCTCCATGTTTTCAGGCAAGCCTGAACTCAAACAGTCCCAGAAGACTGACTCTAAAATCATCCAAACCTTTTAAAAAAAAGATATTAATTCCTTTTAAAGATCGTTATTGTTTTGTTTACCTATTTTAAGGATTGTTTGCTTATTTGTTTTTTAGTAAATGATAGTCCCAGTAGCTTGCTTTTAGTTTTTACATTAAAAGTAATTATTAATATAACTCTTAGAATAAAACTATAAGATGCAGATGATCACACTTGAAGCTCTTACTCGAGGGGGGCATGGGCAATATATGTAACCTTAACACTTGTACCCCCATAATACTCTAAAATAAAAATAAATAAATTAAAAAAAAAAAAAAGGATGCAGATGATCACAAAGAAAATAAAACCACCAGTTATTGTACCACCCAGAAAGAGTTTTATTGTTTTGTTTTGCAAAAAATGTGAGCAATTTTCTTCTTTAAATTTCTAAATCAAAATTCTTCATATATGTAATTCAAATATTTCTATAAGTCTTACTATGAAAAATTGCAAAAATAAAAGATTTTTTTTTTTTTTTTTTTTTGAGACAGAGTCTCCTTTGTTGTCCAGGCTAGAGTGAGTGCTGTGGCATCAGCCTAGCTCACAGCAACCTCAAACTCCTGGGCTCGAGCGATCCTTCTGCCTCAGCCTCCCGAGTAGCCGGGACTACAGGCATGCGCCACCATGCCCGGCTAATTTTTTATATATAGCCAATTGGCCAATTAAATTGGCCAATTAATTTCTTTCTATTTATAGTAGAGATGGGGTCTCGCTCTTGCTCAGGCTGGTTTTGAACTCCTGACCTCGAGCAATCCGCCCGCCTCGGCCTCCCAGAGAGCTAGGATTACAGGCATGAGCCACCGCGCCCGGCCAAAAATAAAAGATTTTTAAAGTTATAGTCCACTCTCACCACAAACGGTCCTATTCCCAAGAGGCATTATTTTCCGCTGTTTTGTAACTTCCATATCTCTGTATAACATGCTTCTGGTAGTACATCTTGATTTCTAATTTGGAACATTAGCTATTGAATTCCCACTATTGAAGATGAAGTCTCAGGTCTTTCACACATTCCTCACAGCCTCATCTCTGCACATAGTCACCAGTACATGATTGTGCATTTCTCATTCTCTGTCTTCTCAATATAATTATAATTTTTTACTACAGTGAGATTTGGTGCTTAAATTATTATAAATGTATAAATGCCATTTAGAACTGAGTCATCCATGTAGTTTACTGTGACGACTTTTTCTATATATCCTTTTGTTTTCCCAGAGTCGATAATTATTTTGTTATTCATTTAGTTTTCTATTTATCACTAATGTATGATTTATTACTATTGTATCTCCACACTTCCTTCCAGACCTTAAAATCTCTCAATACCTTAGGTATTCTATCAATTTCATCTTCTGAAAGAAGTCTCTCTGGAGCTTCTGAGTGTTCCTATCTAGAATGATGTCTCTAGACCTGTGGCCTGGCTGACTTTAGGATCTCTCTTTACCACCATCCTGAGATTCTATCACTTCTCTTTTGTTGAATTTTTTATTTCCTGGATCCCATTTCATCTTTTTTCCTGGATTTTGCCCTTATTTTTGTGGAGCATCTTTTCTTATTTTGCAGAAGATATTAATGATATTTCCCAACTGATTTGATTATCTTGGCCTCTGCTTTTTATATTAGAGGCTTTGTTCAAATGTTTAAAGAGCCTTTGATAGCCATTTTTCTCTAAAAATGGAGACTAAAAAGTTGATTGAAAGCTTTGTACCCATGGTAAGTCTTGTCAGCTCTGCTCAGTGTACAAGGGTGATCTAGCTGGGTTATTTTCTTAGTGACCCTCCAGCATTATTATCTTTAAATCTTTCCCCCCTGAGCTGATCAGATTCTGCAGATAAATCTCTTTGACTCTTCTGTTTGGCAGGTGTGTAATCCTGACTGTCTGTGTTCTGGGAACTGGGTGGGAAGAGGAAGGCCCAAGGGGAGTGTGTGGGGGGTTTTCTTAATACTCAGTATGTAAACTTTCATTTAGTCCTCCTGTTTTAACTTTTCAACTGTGCATGTGACTGGCATGCCCTATACCAGAGACCCTTCTCTTTGGAGAAGAAATTTCTAATTTTTGGCCAGGATTGGGAAGGGGCAGTCACTTAGCTGCATGGAGTTGGGATAAGAATCTGGATATCTAACTGCTTCTTACTAAGACTTTCAAGCAGTCCTTCTGCTATTAGTCCTGCCTTCATCCATTTTCAGGAGTACCTGGTTTAGCCAATTCCTGAGCCTTCTTTAGGAATCTCCAGTGAAGATTACTGTTTGGCTTTTGCCACTAATAGCTTTGGATCTAGCTTTGCCAGGACAGCTAAAACAATAATCACCGTTCCATATGCTTTATAACTTCTAAAATTTTATTGCTGTTATCTCTTTTATAATTATTTGTTCTTAGGTTTATATGTTTTAAAATTCCTTTATAATAATTTTTGTAGTGGGAGAGAGCAGAGGTTAAGGTGTTTTCAATCTGCCATCTTTACTGGAAGTCCTTACATGTTGGACTATACAAAAAAGTATGCATATATTTTTTTAAACAATATTTTATGGAAATCTGTGTCCTTATATATTTTAAAACAGTGGTCCTTAAACTTTAGCATCCATCAGAATCACCTGGATGGCTTGTTAGAACACAATAATTTGCATTTCTAAGTTATTAAATGATATGTATACTGCTGGTCCAGGAACTATACTTTGAGAACCACTGATCTGAAGCCTTATGGAAATTATATATTATACCATCGCATGGAATTATTTAATCAAACTTCTGTTACTGGCACTTAGGTTGATCTAAATTTTTTTTCATATTATAAACAGTGCTGCCACAACATTCCTTGACTCTAATCTTTGCATGTTTTTAAAATCATTTCATTAGAATGAAATCTTAGAAGTAAAACTGTTGGCCGAGGTGGGAGGATCGCTTGAGGTGAGGAGTTTGAGACCAGCCTGAGCAAGAGCGAGACCCTGTCTCTACCAAAAATAGAAAGAAATTACCTGGACAACTAAAAATATATAGAAAAAATTAGCTGGGCATGGTGGTGCATTCCTGTAGTCCCAATTACTCGGGAGGCTGAGGCAGGAGGATCACTTAAGCCCAGGAGTTTGAGGTTGCTGTGAGCTAGGCTGATGCCATGGCACTCTAGCCCCGGCAACAGAGCGAGACTCTGTCTCAAAAGAAAAAGAAGTAGAACTGTTGGACCAGTTTGTCATATTGGGTTTATACTTTTTGCTAGGGGCTGTTTTGCGCACTGGGGACACAGTGGTGAGTGAGACTGCCTTCTGAGTATTTTTATTGTAGTGGGAGGAGATAGGCAGTCAAGACACAAGTAAAAAAGAAAATTTGAGTTATTGATAATTGTGTTTTTATATGAAAAAAGGATTTCCAGGATTTGGAAAAAGGGATTTTGAGGAATGATTTCAAGAGTTGATGTCCAAGAAAGCTTAGAATTTCTCAGGGTCATTCCTAGTTCTGCTTGTTTATCTACCCTCACTCCTTGGGAGACTTCACCTAAAGCTATGGCTTTAACCAACCACCAGCTATATGCTGAAACTCTAAAATTCCTATCTCTAGTCCCCCCTCTCCTCTAAACTATAGATTTTTATATTAACTGCCTATTCAACATTTCCATTGGTATATTTAATAAGATCTCACCCTTAACATGTACAATTCTGACATCTTGATTTCTCTCATCAAACTTGCTTTTTTGCCATCTTCCTTATCTTGATAAATGGCATCTCCATTCTACTTGTTGCTCAGGTCAACATTAGAATGGTACTTGTCTTCTCCTTTTCTCTCATGCTTTATATCCAGTCTATCAGCAAATCCATTTGACTTTGGCTTCAAGAATCTATCCAGAATCCAACTGCTTCTCACCACTTGCAATGCTATCACTTCAGTTCAAGTTCCTGTCGTCACTCTCCTGGAAGAGTGGTCTCCTGTTTTTCACTTCTGCCCTCCTGTAACTCCTTTCTTGCTATAGCAGTGAGAGTCACCTTCCATAAATGAGGTCATATTGCTCCCATGTTTAAAACTCTCCAGAAACTTCTTACCATACCTAAGCATAAAATCCAAAGTACAAGTAATGACCTACAAAGCCCTATATAATATAGTTTCTTACTCTGTCCAGTAACATTTCCTATGAATTTCCCTCACCCATGATACCCTCACCACAGTGGCCTCCTTGCTAGTTCTGCAAGTTCATGCCTGCTGATGTATTTGGTATTCATTGCAACATCCTTAAGACTTACTTCTGGGCCCAGCGATGTGGTTCACGCCTATAATCCCAACACTCTGGACAGCCAAAGTAGGAGGACTGCTTGATGCCAGGCTGGGGGATATAGTGAGACCCTGTCTTTACAAAAAAAATTTTTTTTAATTTAGCTAGGCACAGTGGTATATACCTCTAGTCCTAGCTACTTGGGAGGTTGAGGCAGGAGGATCACTTGAGCCCAGGAGTTCTAAGCTGCAGTGAGCTATGATCATGCCATTGCGCTCCAGTCTGAGTGACAGAGTGAGACCCTGTCTCTAAAAAAAAGACTTTCTGAATTCATTCAGGTCTCAGCTCAAATGTCACCCTCTCAAAGAGGTTCCTCTGATCATTCATATAAAATAGCACATCTCTTGTCCCTTCCATCACTTTCTGTGCCCCTACATTGCTATTTTTCTATGACAACACTACCATCTGTCAATTATATATTTCTGTTGTTTGTTTATTAGTCTGTCTCCCATTACTAGAATGTAAGTTCCAAGAGAGGTGAGACACTGTTCACTGTCATTTGCTGAGATGTAGAAGAGTGGCACAAAGAATGAGGTGAATAAGTGTCTGTTGATTGAATGAATGAGGATACCGTATGTCATATAGTAGAATGAGGATACCGTATGTCATATAGTAGAGGATGCCTGGAGGATGGAGTGGGAGGAGGTGCTGCTTTAGCTAAAGAGTTTTTTGTTGTTTTTCATTATTTGTTTTTTTTGTTTTTGAGACAGGGTCTCACTTCTATTGCTAAGGCTAGAGTTCATTGGCATGATCATAGCCTGGCTAATTTTTTTGCTTTTTAATAGAGACAGGATTTTGCTCAGGCTGGTTTGGAATTCCTGGCCTCAAGTGATGTTCCCAAAATGCTAGGATTACAGGAGTAAGCCACTGCGCCTAGCAGCTGAACAGTTTTGGAGAGGCCTCTCAAAGAAGGGGACGTGGGAGTTGAGGCTGGGGCCAAAGGAGTTACATATTTTTTGCTTTGCACTGTGATTGTTCATTCTTGTATTTTAAAAATTGTTTTTCGCTATTAAAAATTCAAATAGTTTAAATCCCTCTGTAGAATCCCATCTCGTCCCACTCCCACAGATAACCCACAGTTACCCCTTGGCTGATTTCTTTCTAAAACTTTGCTGCTCTTTATTGCTAAATTGCTCTTTGTAAAGGTTATATCAGTTGCAACCTAACTTTAAGATACTAAAAATGCCTATTTGGATTTTTTTGTTGTTCTTCTTTTGTTGCCCAAAATAATTGCTTCCATTTTTAAGAATCTCAATTTATCCCCTAAGAAATGGTGGCGTCTGTCTGTTCTGGATCTCTTGATGGAGTGGAATACTCACAACGAAAGGAGAAGGGAACTGTGAAGATGTCTGTGCCAAGGACACTTGCTCTCTGCTATCTGTCGTTACTGTGGCAGAGAGAGGCAATAACACTTTCAGATCTCTTGAGGTAAGCTGCACCTCTCATACGATGTTTTTGCTGATTGTGTGAATTAAAGAGACAAACTTTGGATGTTTTGAATTTTACAGGAAGGCTTAACTTGATGATGGGCCTCGGAAGGTTGGGTGGCCTGGTTTCTAATTCTGAAATCTGATCCCTCTGGGCTAGTAATTCATCTTCTTGATTTTCTTATTTACATAGCAGAAATAATAGTACTTACCTCACATTGGCTATTGGAAAATTAATTATCTAATGTTTTGAAGAGAAAAGCGACATTAAAGTATCTGAGTTGTATTAACATTTTTAAGAAAAGATGCATAGATGATCTTTCCATTAGCAAAATGGTTATTATTATGGTAATACAAAAGCATACATTGATGTCATTAAGAGCTAAACTATAGGTTGTCTATGTTTATAAGGAAACCTTGAAAACAAAACTATTGGAAGAAGCTGTTATGCAGATAGGTAGTGAGCATTTATGTTTTTCAAGATAATCTACACTTTTTCCAGTTAATGAGTAAATTATGTCATTGTATGTAAGAATTTCTCATTTAATAGAAGATGTGCCAAAATCATTAATATATTAACTTTTTTTCCTTGCTTTGTATGTGTTCTGAAAAATAACATTTGGGTTTAATCACTGTGTAGAGTGCTTTTAAGAGCACAGATTTGCAACTAGACCCCTAGGTTCAAATCCTGGCTTTGTCATTTATTTATTATATGACCTTGAGTAAGTTATCTAATTTCTCTCTGCTTCTGTTTCCTCATTGGTAAAATGGAACTAATAATAATAACTACCTCACAGGGTTGTAACTACTTTCAATAATTAGTACTGTATGAAAAGCACTTAGAACAGTGTTTGGCACATAATAAGAACTCAGTGCTAGTCATTATTGTTTTTGTTTTCAACACTATCATCGTCATTATTGGCAGTAGGCCCTTTGATTAAATAAAATGCCTCCAGTGAGTGATGATAGTGCCTTTGAATTTGGCCACATCAACCAAATAACAAGGCTTTTTTCATGTGTGATTAACTCTTCAAGCAGATAGCCCATGATTCAGTGAATTTTACTTTTAAGTTTAAAAACCTGATCTTGCTCTGTGTGCCCTTATTGGGTGATCTCATCCTTTGCCAAGGCTTTAATTACCATCTATTTGCTGATGACTCCCAAATTTATATCTCTAGCCCAGACTTGTCTACTGAGGGCAAGACCCATATATCCATATGTACAACTGCCTGCTGGACACAGCTACTTGGATGTCTTTATGATATCTCAGAATCAGCATTACTAAAAAGAGGTTCATCATCTATCTCCTTAATCTAGCTCCTTCTCCAGTGTTTTATTTCTGAGTAAATGCCATGTACCCTGTTACATCCTATCCAGAAACCTAGTAATCATCCTTGACTCTTTCCTTTCTCTACATACACTGTTAGTCATTATGTTCTATCAAACATATGTACAAAATAAGTCACAAAACCATTTTTCTGTCCATTCCCTCCTCTCTGCCTGGATTGCGTGACAGTCTCCCACCTGAGCTGTGTCTGCACTCTTGTGTCATTCCTATCCCTTCTCCTCCTGACAACCAGAAAGACCTTACAGAAACATAAATGTAATCATGCCATTAGAACTGGATAAAGGGGCTAGTCATCCTGCCCAGGGCGATCTATAAGGGGCTAACAAAACTTTCTTAGAAATCTAACAAGATGGGGAAAATAATATTTACCTGAAATTCTTCTCAGAATATTATATGTGGTTGGAAAAATGGGGATAAATTTCTAGCCCTATTTTCTCCCTTTCTTGCTCCTCCTCTGCCTCTGTCTTTCCTTTCTTCCCCACAATTTAAGGGAATTCTAAAATTCCTTCAAGGAGATTGGATCTAGTTAGCTGGAGGACTTTTATTTTGCTCTATGAGGTATACACGTTTGGGAACAGAGCTTAGTTGCTTGGGGCAATAGGAGAAGAGGCTGTCACCATTGATCCTCTTTCTCTGCTTTTCTTCTAGAAAGAGCTCTATGTCACAGGTCCTGAATGTGTGGCCTCCTGATTAACAGCTTCAGCATCACCTAGGAACTTGTTAGAAAAGCAAATTCTTAGATACACACTAGACTTTCTGAATCAGAAAATAGGATAGAGCCTGGTAATCTCTGTTTTAATAAGCCTTCCAGGGGATTTTTACAGATGCTAAAGTTTGAGAACTACTGCCAAACTTTGAAAAACTATTTAAAGAACATTGATTTGAAGGGAGTATGTTCTGGAGCCTGACTGGAATACTTACACTGATTATGCATGTCACTTCCCTGTTCAAATCCTCTAGGAGTAGCCATAGTTCTTAGGATAAATTGATAACCCTTCAAATAGCCTGTAAAGGATGCTGCCTACCTAGTAATAATAATAATTTATTCATTGCACAAATATTTATTGAGTATCCACTGTATGCAGGTATTGTCTAGAGTCTAGACCCTTGAGATGCATTTATAAACCATTCAGAAGATTGAAATAGCCTTGTGTGATCAAGAATGACTTGATGGCTACTGTAGATTAGTTATTAGGGAAAGCCTAGCTGATAAAGTGGAATTTAAGCTGCACTTTGAATGAAAATAGAGCCAAAATGTGAATATAAGAAGTATAGTAGTCCCTACTTATCCTTGGGGGATACATTCCAAGACCCACTGTAGATACATGAAACCGTGGATAGCACCAAATCCTGTTTGTACTATGTTTTTCTTATACATACATTCCTGTGATAAAATTTAATTTATGGTTTAGGCACAATATGATATTAATAATAATAAAATAAAACAATTATAACAATATGATGGCACCACTACTCTTGTGCTTTGGGGCCATTATTAAGTAAAACAAGGGTTACTTAAACACAAGTCCTGCAATACCATGACAGTGTATCTGAGAACTGAGCAAACTGTTAATACAAGTGATTCATGGGTGAGGAGGGTCTATCGCATGGATATGCTGGACAAAGGAAGGATACATATCCCAGGCAGGACAGAGCAAGATGCACTGAATTTCATCATGCTGCGCAGAACAGTGTACCATATCAAACTTATGAATTGTTTATTTCTGGAATTTTTCCATTTAATATTTTTGGGCTGCAGTTGACTGTGAGTAACTGAAACTGTAAAAAGTAAACAGAGGATAAGGGTGCCTTACTATACTAGCATCCCAGGTAGAGAGAAGTTGCTAGTATCATGCCCCACAGCAAGAGCAAGCTCGGTGTGATGAAGGAGCAGAGGAGGGCTGGTGTGAGTGGAGCAAGAGAATTCTGATGATGAGTGGGAGGGGTGAGGGCAGAGAGAAAAACAGGGGCAGATACCTGTTAGGAGATCCAAGTTAGGGGTTTGGATTTTTTTAAATTGAAGTATAATTCATATATAAGAAAATTTACCCTTTTAAAATGTACAATTCAATTAGCTGGGCATGGTGGTGCATAACTATAGTCCCAGCAACTTGGGAGTTTGAGGCAAGGAAGATCGCTTGAGTGATCTACAGCCTACAGCCACTGCACTCTAGCCTGGGTGACAGAGTGAGACCTGTCTCAAAACAAAACAAAAAATGTGCAATTTAGCAGTTTCAGTATATTCTCAAAGTTGTACAACCATCACTTTCTATTAATATTTCCAGGACATATTCATCACTCCGAAAGGAAATCACATACCCATAGGGCTTTAAGTGTGATAGTGCCACTGGAAGGTTGTAGCAGGAGGAACATGATCTGATTTAGGTTTGTAAAAGATCATGTGGAAAATAGATTCTAGGAGGGAAGGGCAGAAGCAGGGAGACCAGGTGGTCTTTTGCTATACTTCAGGCAAGAGATCGTAGCTTGGATTAGGATGCTGGTAATGGAAATAGAAAGAGGTGAACAGGTTCAGGATCTATTTTACAGGTAGACACGACTTGAATGCAGTGCTTTTTAATGATCTGCAATGAAGGACTAATTGTTAAATTTCCAATCTGTCACAGATCAAAACTTTGGAAAAATACAAAATTATAAGTAGAGACAGTGTTTCTAGGGACACAGGTAACGAGGTGTATGGGGTGCTTTCAGTTGGTGCCAATTGCTCTGTCAACTTCCTGGATTGACCCAGAGAACCAGCTGATAATACCAAAGAAGGGAAATAGATTGTTCAGTAGCTATCTTTTTGGAAAAATAAATATTTTTCTAAAAGGAGCTTCAAATTCAGAAGGAAAAACTTTGGAAAGAGGTTAAAAGCAGCACTATTATAAATGGTGAAACAGCTTTTAAACTCCATATGCCCAAAACTGCTCTGTGCAGACATCTCTGTTTCCCTGGGAAGATCTCTCGTTCTTGCCTCTGCTTCTACAGCACTCAGTATGCCTCTTTGGTGCTCTTGTGACAGCACCTCTACTGGTTCATTTGCAGGCTGTCTGTCTGATTCATTAGGATGGGGTGTGGAGGACTCTTCATCTCTGAACCCCTAACACTCCACAGAGGGCTGGCATGTATTATTACATGGGGATAAGTCTAAATAATTTATGAGCATATAACATAATGGAATAGTAGATAGTTTTAAAAATGATAGTACAGGCTGGGCATAGTGGCTCATGCCTGTAATCCTAGCACTCTGGGAGGCCAAGGTGGGAGGATCACTTGAGCTCAGGAGTTGGAGACCAGCCTGGGCAAGAGCAAGACCCCATCTCTACTAAAAATAAAAAAATCAGCAGGTGCAGTGGTGTATGTCTGTATTCCCAGCCACCTGTTGGGAGCCTGAGTCAGGAGGAGCATATTGAGCTCAGGAGTTTCAGGTTACAGTGAGCTACAGTCACATCCCTGCATGCTAGGCTGGACAATAGATTAAGAACCTTCTCAAAAAAAAAAGATAGACTTACATTATATCCCATATATAAAATAATATTAAACCAAAATATAGTTCTAAAATAATATGAAATTGATTACTATATATAAATACTTTCATATAAACTAAAGATACTAAGGAAAAACTAGCTGAAAGAGGCTTTAACACCTTTTTTTTTTACATAAAATATTTAATTCTTAACTTTCGGTAGGCTAAAATTAAAGAATCACATTTTTAATTGGAATTAAAGTCAAATCAATTTTGTCCTTTACTATAGAAATCTGAGAGTCGGATATCAGCCCAATTCTAGCAACAAGCAAATATTTTAAGTCTGCGTTTTGTGTACTTATTCCTGTCATCTTAGTTTCCTTAACAATTGTCTTACTTTTAAAATCTTATATGGAGATATATATATGACATGGTTGCAAGATCCCTATTCCTCGTTTTCTAGTCTCCTTTCCTACTTATTTTTCCCTATTTATTTTTCACTCTACCATATATACTGTTGATTTCATTTATTTGTTTTGTTGTCTTTTCACATTAGAATGTAAACTTCACAGGAATAAGAATGTTTTTCTGTTTTGTTTACTTCTTTATCCCTGTAGCCTAGAATAGTGCTGGGAATATAGTACTCAATAAATTTCTCTCGAATGAATGAATAAATTATAAATATATTCATTTATATGTATGTGCTATTTTCTTCAAACTCAATAATTGACTCAAAATATTTGAGCTCATATTTTATTATGTGTACCCTACATTGGGATGGGGGTGGTGAGCAAACAGGCAGGGTTCTTCCCATTGATGGTTCTTCGAGCAATAAGCATCTACCACGTACCATGCTAGGTGCTGGAACCAGAAGGGTAGACAAGGGAAGTAGGTGTGCTGTCGTGAAAGACAGGAATCAGGGAAGGCTTCCCTGAAGAGGTGATTTACGAGCCGAGTAGGAGCCTGTCATGTGAGGGGAGATAGGGATAGAAGGAATACCATGTTAGAAAGCCTGGTGATGAACTGACAGATAAGGTACCCACTTCTCTTAGACATATTTAATCAGGAACTTAAGAGAATCATTTGCTAGCTCTCTGGGAGGCCGAGGCGGGTGGATTGCTCGAGGTCAGGAGTTCGAAACCAGCCTGAGCAAGAGCGAGACCCTGTCTCTACTATAAATAGAAAGAAATTAATTGGCCATCTAATATACATAGAAAAAAAAAATTAGCCAGGCATGGTGGCCCATGCCTGTAGTCCCAGCTACTTAGGAGGCTGAGGCAGAAGGATTGCTTGAGCCCAGGAGTTTGAGGTTGCTGTGAGCTAGGCTGACGCCACGGCACTCACCCTAGCCTAGGCAACAAAGCCAGACTCTGTCTCAAAAAAAAAAAGAGAGAATCATTTGATAGTTGGCTAAATAGTCCCATGCATCGGTATGGAGAATAATAGATATGATCAAATTTATCATCATTAAAAATATATAGAAGGGGCCGGGCACAGTATCTCAGGCCTGTAATCCTAGCTCTCTGGGACGCTGAGGCAGAGGGCTTGCTCAAGGTCGGGAGTTCGAAACCAGCCTGAGCAAGAGCGAGACCCTGTCTCTGCTATAAATAGAAAGAAATTAGGTTGGGCACGGTGGTTCACACCTGTAATCCTAGCACTCGGGGAGGCCGAGGCGGGCGGATTGCTTGAGGTCAGGAGTTCAAAACCAGCCTGAGCAAGAGCGAGACCCCATCTCTACTATAAATAGAAAGAAATTTATTGGCCTATTAAGATATATATAGAAAAAATTAGCTGGGCATGGTGGCACATGCCTGTAGTCCCAGCTACTCGGGAGGCTGAGGCAGGAGGATTGCTTGAGCCCAGGAGTTTGAGGTTGCTGTGAGCTAGGCTAATGCCACGGCACTTACTCTAGCCTGGGCAACAAAGTGCGACCTGTCTCAAAAAAAAAAAAAAAAAAAAAAGAAATTAATTGGCCAACTAATAAATATAGAAAAAATTAGCCAGGCATGGGCATGGTGGTGCATGCCTATAGTCCCAGCTACTTGGGAGACTGAGGCAGCAGGATTGCTTGAGCCCAGTTTGAGGTTGCTGTGAGCTAGGTTGACGCCACAGCACTCATTCTAGCCTGGGCAACAAAGTGAGACTCTGTCTCAAAAAAAAAATATATATACATAGTATATACATATATATATATATATATATATATAGAAGGTAGAATACACTTAACTGATTCTTACCTTTTTATGAGACTTTTTTTCTGAAAACATTTACTGTGCTAAGTCAGTACATAGCACTCATTGAAACTTTTTCTTGTTAAAAATATAGATTTGTTGAAGAGGACCATATTCCTTACGTAAATGCTTTTCAGCATTTTCCAGAAGAGATGAAATTATATGGGCGTGACAAAAGAATCTTTGCTGTAGAGGTAAGTTATTTTTTTTTTACTTTGTAATTACTAATAAGAGGACAAGAATGGTTCCTAATTTATATTTCTTGCCTTATTGTTTGGTGTTAGAGTTTTTTAAAATGTCATCTAGTTTTTGTTCTATGCAAATATGGAACATTAATCATAATGAATGAAGAGTAGAATTATTATCTTTTATTTTCCTTATGTGGCTTCTTCTAATCCTTTAGGTTATCCTCAAAATGTAGCTATGGTGTGATGTGTGTACATTGCAAATGGGTACATTGTTGAGACTAAACTTAAAAAGTTTTACAGAGACCTTTAGGTGATTACTTTTTTTTTTTAAGCTGTGAGGTTTTTTATTTTATTTTTTTTGCACACTGTGTTGCTTTGGAGGAAAGAGAAGAAAGTTATTATCATGTTTCAAGAAGTACTATTTTAAAACTGTAGCTTGTGTTAGTTTATCTTTTTCTAGATCTGTTTTCGGATGTCTCCTATGGAAGGACTTCTGTCCTTTAATTATGAGTTTTTATCACTATTTATGGTGCTCAAAAGTTATTTTCCCTTTGTTCTTCATCAGAAGGTTTTCAGTGTGCTAAGTATTAATACTAAATATTTTCCTTCATTTGCCCATTTAAGGAATTATTTTCATAGACCTTAATGACCTTCGTGACCTTGACATTGTTTATGGTTTAAGAGACATTTGTTGAGTGCTTGTTAGGTGTTTGTAACATTAAATAATATTTTTTTTGTTTGTTTTTCTTTTTTACTCCTAACAACATTATTTTCTGTAAGTAATGTTTATAACAATAAGGATGGCTGTAAATTATAAGATGGTAAAATTGAGTCTCAAAAAGGTTAAGTAACTTGCCCAATATCATCTAATTGGCAAATCATGAAACCTGGATTTGGCCCTTGGTACTGTATCTCTCACATCAAAAGTTACGTTCTTTCTTCTATGCCACTATATTTTCGTTCTCTGACAAAAACTGTGATCAGGAGGGGCTGCAACGTCCAGAGACAGTGGAGTAAAGAGGCTGCAAATCCTCTCCCCGAAAACAAATATAACATTTAACAAAATTGCCCCCCACCAAAAAAAACTCCAAAAGCTCAGGTCTCTGGAAATTGACCAAAAGCTAACAATAAATTGAGAAAGCATTTATTCATAAAAAACTTCAGTGACAGTCTGTGGCATTCTTCCCTAGGACTGCTCCCATCCCTCACCCCTACTCTCAGCCGGTAGGTGAGATGGTGCTGCCAGGGAAGGTGGCTGTGAAACCATTAGCTTCATTGTGGGAGAGGATGGCTTGGTTTGGAGCAGAGGGCAAAACCCCCATGTGTGGTGATGTTATCAGGAAAAACAGAAAATTCCATTGGAAATGGTCAGGGAGAGCCCACAGCCCTGTTAGCCTAAGATTGACGTGCCACTGGTAGACAAGGCAGAAATTTAACAGAGATCATAGAAATGGAAAGAGCCATAATTGTTAAGGTGACTTCATAGATTCTTTGCATTTGTAACTGCTCATTATTATTCCAACTGGAGAGAATTTAACATCAGTGAAAAGCTAATGTTTCTTTTATAAAAATTAAGGTGCAGAGTATAACTAACTTATACTGCTTATATGGATATAATGACTTTCCTCTGAAATCTTGAAATGTTTTCCATTGCTATTTTATTTATTCTTGTTCAGTCCCTAAAAGGTAGGTAGATTCCCTTCTTCAGAGATAGAATTTGAGGCATTTAAAAAAAAAACGATTGGGAAGCCTAAGTAATCTAAGATTTTTAATTATTTAAGACATTAGACCAAGATATGTTTTTACTTCTCAGTTAATTCTCTTAGAAAATATTTCACATTTGTTCTTTTATAGGTAAATAAGTTAACCAAGTAATTTACCACATCGTAGTACATGGTGGGGGAAGGTCCTTTTTGTTAGTTTTTATATTTCTTAAAAGATTTACTTTGAGAAGAAGGTCGTCATAACAACAAAAATATTTAATAGTGGTTTGACTTTATATTTAAATAAAAACATTTAATGGTGGTTTTACAGAAAATTAACCTCTATTCAAATACCCTCTGATGTTCAAGTTGATGTTGGGGTTTATCCCTTTCCATCCTGTGTTAATAAATGCAGATATAAAGTGAAATTGCACATTTTACAAGTTCCAGCATGAAATATGTTGTCTTCAAAATTAATGTAGAACTGCTTGCAAATCTATCCACACATACAGATCTGACAGAATTAGAGAAGTTTACAGTTGAAGAAGAGAAAAATCAATGAGGGTGACACAATAAGGGGTTTGCAAAGGGAAAATTTGAAGTCAGGATTAAGGGAGGTCCCTGACAAAGCTAATAGAACCCTGGGGCATTTTGTAAAGTGATTCTCTTTGGATTTATGCTGTAAAACCAAAGGCAGTGGGAAGGATGTGTTATCATATAATTTTGCTAGAAAAATTATGCCCCCTAAAATCTGTGTTTCATTCATTCTTTGTTATGAGAACTTAGTGGATAGGCATAATTATAACCTAAATTTCTTTTTTTTTTTTTTATAACCTAAATTTCTTCAATATAAGATAAAATAAACTTATTTGTATGCCTTTTAATTTTGTTTCTCAAAGTCTCAAGCAAATCCCCTTTTCACTCTTTACCAATTTATCAACTGTTTTTTAAATAGATTCACTTTGAGAGAGTTTTATTGGTGTGAATTATCTTTGGATGATAATAAAATAGGATAAGAATGCAGTTCTGCTATGAAAGTGACACTTCTTTTCATAAACAATAATCTAGAATGTTTTATTTTTATTTATTTATTTATTTAGAGACAGAGTCTCACTGTGTTGCTCAGGCTAGAGTGAGTGCCGTGGTATCAGCCTAGCTCACAGCAACAGCACCTCAACTCCTGGCTCAAGCATCCTCCTGCCTCAGCCTCCCGAGTAGCTGGGACTACAGGCATGCACCACCATGCCCTGCTAATTAATTATTATATATATATATATATAGTATGTATATGTGTGTGTGTGTATATATATACACACACATGTGTGTATATTATATACACACACACACATATATACATATATATACACATATATATACAACTAACACATATATATACAACTATAATACATATATATGTTGTGTGTTGTAATATTATATATACTATATATATATATTATATATATTAGTTGTCCAATGAATTTCTTTCTATTTTTTAGTAGAGACGGGTCTCGCTCTGCTCAGGCTGGTCTTGAACTCCTGAGCTGAAATGATTCTCCCGCCTCGGCCTCCCAGAGTACTAGGATTATAGGCGTGAGCCACACGCCCAGCCCATTCTAATATTTTGATATATGTATACCATGTGAATGATTCGATCAGCTGATTAACATATCCATCACCTCAATTACTCATGTTTTATGGTGACATTGCGATTTACTTCTTTTTGAAATATACAATACTGTCATATGCTGCATAGCAGCATTTTGGTCAAGGATTATCCACATATACCATGGTGGTCCCATAAGATTATAATGGAGCTGAAATATTCCTGTCATCTAGTATGTTGTACCTTCATAGCCTTGTAGCATACTGCATTCATTACTCATGTATTTGTGTTCATGCTGGTGTAAACAAACCTGCACTGCCAGTCAAAACATAGCAGGTACAGTTATGTACAGTACATTATACTTTGATAAGGAATATATAAATGACTGTGTTACTGATTTGTGTGTTTACTACATATATTTATTATTTTAGAATGTACTTTTTCTACTTAAAAAAACAGTTAACAGACTCTAGGCAGCTTCTTCAGAGGTATTTCAGAAGAAGGCATTGTTATCACAGATGACAGCTCCATGCATGTTATTGTCCCTGAAGACCTTCCAGTGTGACAAGGTGTGGAAGTGGAAACAGTGATATTGACGATCCTAACCTTGTGTAGGCAAGGTTATATGTGTGTTTCGCCTTTGTTTTTACAAAAAAGTTTAAAAAGTAAAAAAAATTAAATAGAAAAAGCTTATAGGATAAGGATATAAAGAGAAAATATATTTTTGTAAGATATACAATGATAAGTCTACAGTAGTATACAGTATTGTCCTAGACTTCACATTGACTCACCACTCACTCACTGACTCACCCAGAGCACTTCTAGTCGTGTAAGCTCCATTTTGTGGTAGGGCCCTATACAGGTGTAACTTTTTCTCTTTTATACTGTATTTTTACTATACCTTTCTATAGTTAGATATGTTTAGATACACAAATACTTAATCATTCTGTCACCATTGCCTACAGTATTCAGTACAGTAACATGCTGTACAGTTTGTAACCTTGGAGCAATATTTTATATACCGTATAGCCTAATTGTATAGTGGGCTTATACCATCTAGGTTTGTATATATACACCTGTGATGTTCACACTATGAAATTGCCTTATAATGCATTTCTCAGAATGTTCCGTTGTATC